CCTCCTCGGGGCGCAGGGCGCGCCCTCAGCCCGCGGGGCAGCGCCGCCCCGCAGCCGTCAGCTTTGCCTTCGGGCGCGCTGGCCTGAGCCGTTCGGGCGCTTGCTTGTCAAAAGATCGAGAGCTGGGGAGTCAGCTGAGTCATTAACGTGTCTGAGCTTTGGGGTGGTACAAGGCGCAGCTTGTACGGCTGGGGTAAAGGCAAAGGACTCCTCTAGATACCCCTGAACAGGGCTATAGGTGTTAGTGTTACCGGCAAAGGCTGCTCTGGGAGTTGAATGAAATAACGCCGTGTGCCTTGGTGTATCTGTGAGACTAAAATATGTTTTGTGGATGTAGACAAAGTTTAAGGATAAAGGCAGCTTCCTAGCGGGGACCCCCTTGCCTTCCCCGAGCCCTGTGTTCCCAGGGGGACAAACTTAAGCCTTATGAAATCTTAGATTTGAAAATTGGATAGATGCGGTAGTGCTAAGGTTTCATGGCAAACTTGTAAACGGTTTTGAAGAATGCTGTCGAGGTATGGTATCTTTAGGGCAGCAAATTGTGCATTTCTGAAATACTTTCACTCACTTGATAGATTTGATGAAAAGGAGAATGTATCAAACTGCATCCAGCTGAAGACTTCAGTTATTAAAGGTATTAAGAATCAACTGATAGACCAGTTTCCTGTTATTGAACCATGGCTGAACCAAATTATGCCAAAGAAAGACCCAGTCAAAATAGTAAGATGGTAAGTTTCTTATCTCTCAAACTTTGCTTCCAAATGCTTCCTTGATATGTTTATTTTGTATAGTAGTGAACCTAGTGTTTTTGGAAAGCATCTATCGTTTCTTAAGGGATAATAGTCCATGTTTTGGACAAACCAAAAGGTTTGCGTGTGCTTATCCTGCTCTTGAAGGCATGCTGGTGGGATGTTGGAGGAAAACAAAAATGCTGCCCGGTAGTGAACATAGTTGGGGGCTTTCCAGGGATCAGCCTGTTGTTGAAGGGAAGCATTCAGCTTTTATGCATATACAAGCTTGAACTTGTTTGGATAGCTTCCAGTAGCATTAATTAATTTTGGGCTTCCATATATTATCTGGATTGATTTTTCTTTTATTTATTTATTTTTTAAATAGAGGGTAGTGTCTATTTGCTGATTCGTTCTCCTTGCCTGCTCTTCATATTGCATGTAAAAGAACCCAAAGAAATGCAGTTTGTGGACAGCTGGGTGATTGTCTGTAGATTTTTTTTTTTCATTTTTCTTTATTTTAAAGGGGAAGGAAGCGTGCAGGAGGCCAGTGTTGAAGACTAAGCAATAAAAAAAGATATTTTTAGTTTTAAGTTTTCTTGCTAACCAACTGCCTTAATTATCAGATACCAAGATGGACTGGACTCTGTGAAGTGAAATACTTCATTTAAACTATGAACGGGTTAAGTAGCTGTTGGAATAGATTTTTTTGTTTTAATCTTGCAGTCATGAACATATAGAAATCCTCACTGTGAATGGGGAGTTGCTGTTCTTCAGACAAAGAGAAGGGATTTTTTACCCAACGCTAAGGTTGCTTCACAAATGTAAGTTTCCTGAGGATGGTGGTGGTGGGGAGAGAGGGGTGAGCGTGTGATTCCACAGCACTTCTGTAGAACCGAATTAGAAAGGATTTACTGCTTACATGCATGTATGTGTGCCAGACTGGATCTTAAAGATGCAGTATGCCTTCTCAACTGTAATTTATTGCTATTTCAGGTGCCTGTGTGGATTGCTTCCCCCATAATTACTGTAATGCTGTACGCTAAGCAAGCTGAACTTTGATTTTAAACAATTAAATTGTCCAAAGCTCTGCAAAAAATCTTGAGGTTTCCCTAGGACAGAGATCTGAATTCCCTGTTGTTAGCCCCTATCTTTGTTCTTTCAAGTCTTCCTTTAAATCCTTTTTGTTTCCTTCCAAATACTGTAGGTTCTTACTAGAAAAATACTCTTTAATCACGAGTTTAATGATACAGTGTATCCTTGTCTCCTGTAAGAATTTGTGCTGCATGCTTTTTACTTTTCACAGTTTACTCTTGCATTATTTTTCCTGCTGTTCTCACTGTTCTGCTTGATTATGTTACTATGTTACTCTGATTTGGATGAGCATACGTGTCCCTAAAAATGTCATTTGGTCAAATCTCAATGTTCGAAATACTTCAAGCAGGTGTGTGCACTGGAAGGGTGGCTTAGAGAGCTGGCAGCCTTCATGGATTTTGTCCATCTTTGCCTTTTTTGTCCCGTTACCATTAAACTCTTTCATGTAAGAGGTTATACGTGTAATTTGAGGGATTTAAGACCTCTTGGTATGTGGGCACTTGTGTGGTTGTTTTCACTGGGGGAACTTGTTAAAATTGTTACTCGGTGTGTGGTCTATGAGTATGCGGGAGGCGTAGGCGTAGTGTTGGGTTGCCCTGTGGTTCTCCGGTGAACGATGTGGTTTGGGAGAACAGTACTTGTGTGCTCTGGGGACAGTGCAGCCCAGCAGGAGCTCCGGTAACTGTTTCTCACACTTCCTACCCTTGCAGCACACTATCTGCCTAATTGTCCCATCTCAACTGACTTGATAACGAGTTGTTCATGTTGTCATCTTACTGTATTAATTGTAATGCTGTATCTCTCCCCTCCTAGACCCATTTATTCTACCACACCAGCAGGTTGATAAAGGTGCCATTAAATTTGTACTAAGTGGAGCTAATATAATGTGCCCTGGCCTGACGTCTCCTGGAGCAAAACTTTACCCTGCTGCCGTTGATACTGTTGTTGTATCCTTCTTTAACTATGAGTTGCTGCTTGCTGTGAGATGAGTTAAATTTCTGTCTTGTGTTCTCAGCTGACTGTAATCTGAATTACTTTGGATTTTAATGGTATTTCGTGGAATAACTAGTAATCTGAAAAGAGCTGTAGAGGTTCAGGTCTTATTTGGCAAGGTTAAAATTGTTCTTAATTTATTTTAATGTACTGTGATATTCTAAACCAAGTAACTATTCCTGCTGTGCTGTTGGGTGGGATGCTGTTCCATTAATCTAACTGATAAATGGAGCTCTGTTGTGATTGTATGCAGGACTCTGAAAGTAGATGAGGTACAGTGTAATTTGTCCCCTGCCTCCTTAATCAATCTTGTATCTCCTTCAGTTACGGAAGAATTTACTCCTGTTCTTAGGGAACTTGGAAAGATGTTTAGGATCAGCTTTGCTGTAGTCAGGACTTGCTCTATGTGTCTGATGAAATTAGCATATGTAAAATGAGGAAACTGTGCTAATTCACTCCTGCTCGTGCTATTACTGAGAAAGGAACCCTGAGCAAATACAGCATTAATAGTTCCACTGTGCTGCTTTTGTTGTTAGATGCTACAGCAAAAGATCAGCAGTTAGCATCATGTGTTGCTGAGCTTTGAAAAAGACAGGTCTGACTTCAGTACTTGTGGTTTTTTAGATTTGTGTCTCAATTCTTCTGTACCTCAGAATCTAAAACGGCCCCGCAAACGTCTGTGTTTTTGTCCCAGAAAGGGTGAGACTGCCAGCTCTGTGTGGCACAAAGGGAGAAATGGAGTGTAGCGCTGGGAGATCTGTTTCTGTACTTGCTGTTTGGAGTTCATAAATACATGCTTTGTTCTACTCGCTGTGATTCAGTTGTTAAATGCAGTGCATTGTTTTGCTTATCTTTAAGAGCTAGAGCTCTAGAGTTACTAAAAGGGTTCAACGTGGGATTTTGAAACTCTTTGGAAAGTTGTTTCCTCGTATTGCTTTTACTTTTCTGAAATAGTTTTAAAAAGATCTGTTTTCCTTAGTGATAATTTGTAGGCAATAATGGCAGAGGGAAAACAACATGCATTATGTGTGGGAGTAATGAAGATGTCAGCTGAGGACATGTAAGTGTTTTAAAAATTGAAATATAACCTGTCCCGTGTCATTGTTCCTGTGTTAGCTTGGAATATAAGCACCATTGTCAAGGTTACGGCACCACTGTTGCAGCACATGTCGTTCAAGTACAGAATTCTTTAAGATTTCGTTTCATTGATTAATAA